AATGAATAATGACTCTATATAATAATAAAAAATGGAGCCTCTCTTTTCCTCCCCCTCTTCTGACAGCCCAGCAGCTGATCTCTGAGCAGGAGAGGTGGGGAGAGGGAGAGGTGGGGAGAGGCGGGGCTATTGCTTCAACGTTATCAGGAAATTATCGTATAGGCGTAAACACGGAGCCGTTTTCCCCCCCAGAGCGCTTTGTTTGCAGATCTACCCACCTTGGGACCCGTCATCGTTATCGTTTCCTGCGTTTCCATGTCGGCCTCGTGTGGCCGAACCGTCTATGTGATAGTGAACTGTAGCAGATACGACCGTTATCGTCCTCGTGTGGCCGGGGCCTAAAGCCCCTCTGGCAGAATATGTCAGACATATCAGAAGCACATGTATTTTTTATGTGGTTTGTCTTACAGGTAGTATTACAAAATAATCCTTAAGATTGTTCAAAATAAAAAGGTGTATCGTGGTGTATTGACTACTGTCTCTTTTCCACTGGGGATGACAGTACACTTCAACACAACTGATGGTCATACGTTTTCTTGTCAAAAAGTGCTTAATGGTTGAACAGGAAGCACAGCAAACAAATTTAAACCAGGAGTTCAAAATAAAACGTCTTCTAAACAATAACAACTTATTCCGTAGTTATTCTAAAGAAAGGTACACATTGTGTTCCATTTCATGTTCCGTAGCTTGCCAACGATGGCCATCAAGTAACTCTAAAACCAAGATACACTGAGGTTACACACAAATATGGGGCAAACTCCATACTGTTCTTTTATCCCAAACATGCATTTCAAACGCTCGTGCAATTTCCACACCAATGTCTCAAATTGTGACCACACATGCAAAGTGTGGACAGTGTACCTCTTGTTGACTGACAGCAGTTTGTTGAATGAGAATCAGAGATTGAGGGGGAGACTGTGGACCGGGGCTGGGACGGAGATGATCTTTGCTGACAGGAGCTGCAACTGGAGAGGGTTTCGCAGCAGGGCTGAAACGTTGTGGAGGAGAGAGGGAGCCAGGTTTCTGGGCCAATTGGGTGGTAGGAGGATTTGTAAGACTAGGTTTTGTGGCAGAAGGAGGATTTGTAGGACTAGGATTTGTAGGACTAGGTTTTGTAGCTGAATGAGGATTTGTAGGACTTGGTTTTGTAGCCGAATAAGGATTTGTAGGACTAGGTTTTGTAGCTGAAGGAGGATTTGTAGGACTAGGTTTTGTAGCCGAATGAGGATTTGTAGGACTAGGTTTTGTAGCCAAAGAAGGATTTGTAGGACTAGGTTTTCTGGCAGAAGTTGATCTGTGTGCAGGTACAAAGCCAGGAGGTGGAGACAAAGGTGAGGGCTTGGGGGATGGGATGAAGCCAACAATTGGTGGCATCGACAAGGGTCTGGAATGAGTGGATTTGGAAGAAATAGCCTTGCTTGGGGAGTTTACAGCAACAGGAGATTTGATATCATGTGTAACTGGAACAGAGCTTGTCGGTTTGTGATCAACCTCTTGTGGCTTTGGGGTGGTGTTATCCTCTTTCTTCTCCTCTTTGATCACCTCTGGCACAACTACCTTTTCCTCTTTCTTCTCAATTTGCTTCTCCAACTCTATTTTCTCTGGTCGTTCATCCCTAATTATTCGTGGACGGGGCTCTCTTGTCCTGCCTCTTACCATGAGGTTCGTCAATCCTCGCGAAATGTCGTCTTTTTCTTCTGTTTTGATGACGTCATGTTTAAAAGAGAATGCTGGCATTACTGGGGCCTTAGACATTGAAGCTGGCGTTGCTTTAACTGGTTCAGCAGCAGGCTTGGCTGCTGGTGGAGCTCTGTCTGATGGCTGTGTTGGCACGGCGGTCTCGTCCTCTTCAGTTGGCACGACCTTCCTGACAACGCGACGAATCACCTTTATTACTTTCTTACGTGTCAAACCATTGTCTTCTGTAGGATCCATTTGGTTGCCATTGGTGACATTCCCGTTGGCTGGACAGTTGACCACACTTTTGCCCACAATGCCATTTTGCTCTCGCTCTTTGTTCATAACTGGCTTTGGGCTCAGAGGTGCTTTTGGTGGTTCAGGGCTCCTTAATAGCTCTGTCGTCTTTGAAGGGGCCTCAGGGCTTTTGAAGCGTTCTGGCACTTTAACAGGTTCCCTGACTTTAGGTGGGGAGGGACTTCTGACCCGGGTTGACAACTCGTTATTCGAAACGGACGGAGGACTTGTTGCCCGGAATAACCCCCTGCCAGGGTCTAGAGCTGGTACTGACTTGGCCCGGCTGGGCGCCCCCTCACTGTCTGGCTACTCATAGAGAGGAAAGAGAGGTGGTATAAGAACATGAATGATGAAGGAAAATCCAAGCATAATATCTTTAATAATCAAGATATTGGTGATTCTTTGAGCTGAATGTATCCTTAATAATTGTTTAAAATAATGGCATAACGCCTAGTAAACTACATGGTTACAAACCCTAACCCTACATAAATGTAAGAAGAAGAAGAATGAAGAGCTAGCTGCGCACTGCCTAACCCCTCAGTGACAATTTAAAGTAACCTGAAATCACACATATGGTACTTGCTGGGAGATCTGACTGAAGGCCATTTGTTCAAACTTAACACCAAATGACCAGATGCTAACAGTAACTCCTGCATGGCTACTCTAAAGCAGACAAACGGGACAATATTTACTTACACTTTTGCTTCCTGGATCTTCTTTGATCTAAATATTTTAATATAAAAAGAAAACTAAATCAAACCCTTCACACTACATGAGGCTGTTCATCACACATCGTGCAAAGTCACAACATGCGCATTTTCAGTTTTATTTGCATTTAAATTATTTTTGCACTGCAACACGTTCTCAAAATACAAGCAGTCAATCTTACTAATTCAAGGGCTTACAAAGTATGCACTCACTGCATTGTAAGTGAACTTGTTAGGTGTCCAGCAAACGATATAGGTGGTACAATATCACAACGTCTTTAACGTGCTTAGGCATGAGAGTGAAAGCTATTACAATCTTAGTGTGATACAAGCAAAAGCCACACGTACCTCAAGACACACATGTTAATACACAGCCTAAAACACCGGAAAACCATGCAGTTTGAGAAATGTCCAAGTGAGACTTCCCTTTTGTTCCCAGAAGGAAAAGCGAGATGAGAATGCCATGTTGGCTGATCTGCTGTCATGGGCTGTGATGGATGAGATGAGAGCAGGAGGAAGAGGAGGGGAAGGGGAGCTAGGAGAGGAAGCATGGTGAGAACACAGACAGGTGAATAGAAACGACAATCTTCAGGGATCTACAGAGATCTTTGAATTGTCAATGTAAGCAGAGCCACACGTTGATGGCAAAGCGATTAATAGGATCTTGGAGAAGTAGTGGAGGTACAGGAGATTATAGCAGCAAAAATACACCACAAAAAAAAACTAAAAGGTTTGTAAAAAATAAAAGGATCAAACATTGTCAACCCACTATAACCAAATAGTGAACAACGCTCCACGAAACCATGAATGGTGAACAAAAATATAAGCATCCCTGGTAACTTTTAAATGAGCAAGAAGAAAATGCCAAAACAGTTCTGAATACATGCATCCAGCTTCAGAGCAACATCAGAAAGAAATACTGTACAAGCTTATTTTGAAATGTTTTTAGACATTTTCATTATCCTATTTCTAGATTCCTTGTTTTTCAGTTTGCCCACACATCAAACATGTCTCTTTCAATTATAATACTTTATGCTAAATCTCTTCTCTGTCATGCACCTTAAGCAGCCAATATAGGTAGGTATCCAAAGCTTCCGAACCCAAGAAGAGCAGGAGCATTAGCTTTAACCAAGCCAATGTGAATTTCTACCATGGAATACAGTGACGCAGTGATGATATACAGTGGGGCAAAAAAGAATTTAGTCAGCCACCAATTGTCCAAGTTCTTCCACTTAAAAAGATGAGAGGCCTGTAATTTTCATCCTAGGTATACCTCAACTATGAGAGATAAAATGAGAGAAAAAAAAATCCAGAAAATCACATTGTCTGATTTTTAAAGAATTTGTTTGCAAATTATGGTGGAAAATAAGTATTTGGTCAATAACAAAGGTTCATCTCAATACTTTGTTATATACTGTACCCTTTGTTGGCAATGACAGAGGTCAAACGTTTTCTGTAAGTCTTCACAAGGTTTTCACACACTGTTGCTGGTATTTTGGCCAATTCCTCCATGCAGATCTCCTCTAGAGCAGTGATGTTTTGGGGCTGTCGCTGGGCAACATGGACTTTCAACTCCCTCCAAAGATTTTCTATGGGGTTGAGATCTGGAGACTGGCTAGGCCACTCCAGGACCTTGAAATGCTTCTTACGAAGCCACTCCTTCGTTGCCCGGGCGGTGTGTTTGGGATCGTTGTCATGCTGAAAGACCCAGCCACGTTTCATCTTCAATGCCCTTGCTGATGGAAGGAAGTTGTCACTCAAAATCTCACGATACATGGCCCCATTCATTATTTCCTTTACACGGATCAGTCGTCTTGGTCCCTTTGCAGAAAAACAGCCCCAAAGCATGATGTTTCCACCCCCATGTTTCACAGTAGGTATGGTGTTCTTTGGATGCAACTCAGCATTCTTTCTCCTCCAAACACATCTAGTTGAGTTTTTACCAAAAAGTTCTATTTTGGTTTCATCTGACCATATGACATTCTCCCAATCCTCTTCTGGATCATCTAAATGCTCTCTAGCAAACTTCAGACGGGCCTGGACATGTACTGGCTTAAGCAGGGGGACACGTCTGGCACTGCAGGATTTGAGTCCCTGGCGGCGTAGTGTGTTACTGATGGTAGCCTTTGTTACTTTGGTCCCAGCTCTCTGCAGGTCATTGACGAGGTCCCCCCGTGTGGTTCTGGGATTTTTGCTCACCGTTCTTGTGATCATTTTGACCCCACGGGGTGAGATCTTGCGTGGAGCCCCAGATCGAGGGAGATTATCAGTGGTCTTGTATGTCTTCCATTTTCTAATAATTGCTCCCACAGTTGATTTCTTCACACCAAGCTGCTTACCTATTGCAGATTCAGTCTTCCCAGCCTGGTGCAGGTCTACAATTTTGTTTCTGGTGTCCTTTGACAGCTCTTTGGTCTTGGCCATAGTGGAGTTTGGAGTGTGACTGTTTGAGGTTGTGGACAGGTGTCTTTTATACTGATAACTAGTTCAAACAGGTGCCATTAATACAGTTAACAAGTGGAGGACAGAGGAGGCTCTTAAAGAAGAAGTTACAGGTCTGTGAGAGCCAGANTCTCCGGTTAGTCCACGGATTTTTGTCCGTTAAAGTTTAAATCTTCCGGACAAAATTAGAAAAGTGCCGGTCAAAGGTCTTCTTTGTTATTTATTGAGCAGCTCAATAAATAACAAAGAAGACCTTTGACCGGCACTTTTCTAATTTTGTCCGGAAGATTTAAACTTTAACGGACAAAAATCCGTGGACTAACCGGAGACTTACAGCAGGAGCAAACGCTTGCCTCGGGGAGGGAGAAAAAGAGCCACAGCGGAGAATGAACCGAAGGGCAACCATGGCAACCATGCACGGGAAGTCTTCGCTGCTTTTGTGGCAGACTACAGCACCACTTACAGGCCTGGCATGTACTACAACGTCTCCAGCACTTTCGAACGGTCTCGTGTGAACGGACACGTTTCTGGTGCCTGTTGTGTGTGGAGGGAATACTTTTTTGATATCGATTTCGGTCCGTTTGCGTTATCGTCCTTGTGTGGCTCCAGCCTTAGACCTTGGTCTTTAGTCATTATTTTGATATTTGTTTCTTGACACTGAAAAAGTCAAGTTTTACAAGGCCTTTTATTGTTGATTACCTTTATTGTTGGTCACCTTTGCAATGGCTGTTGAGGAGTTGGTATCTACTTCCTGACAATAATTTCCTATTCCGGTGATTGTTAAGCAGATTGTAGTTCAAGTTCCACCGGATACAGCTCCAAACGCAAGATTTCAGTGGTCTAGAGTTTGAGTTAACCAACAGGAGACCTATGTAGATCCAATTACTGCAGTGTTGCATTCTCAAAGCAAAACCCATGAACATGAACAGATAGTACAACTCTCCAGGAACAGATGGCAGACATACTGTTTTTCCTGGGCTCATGCTGAATTTGTGCAAGACCTGACTTGGTCTCAGTTTACTCCAAAAAACATGCTGCCTCTGACTAGTAAAGTAACTCTAGAAAGGCCTACAACTTTTGCTGTCGAATTGAAATATTATTATTATTTGCTGGAAAGATCTATCTTCTGGAATGTATTTATGACATGAATTATGACTCTGTTTTGATGATATGATAAACACATTAGTTGAATTAGGACTAGGGTTCTTCCCCACAGGTTTAAAGCAGTCAGACCCCTTATGTTTGCCCATATGTCTTAGGTACATTGATTTGTTTTGCTGGTTTGTTGCAACTAGTGTGTTTCTAATATCACTCTCTTAACCAGACACTTGTATATTAGTGTGTGTGTCAGAGTTCCCGTTAGAATATTTTTTTTCGCCGGTCAACAAGTCCGTTAAAGTTTAAATCTTCCGGACAAAATTTGAAAAGTATCGGTCAAAGGTCTTCTTTGTTATTTATTGAGCTTTAAAACTAATTGATATGATTTGATATTAAACAGACTAATAATAGTAGATGAACTATTCAAAAGTGTACAGTAATTTACAATAACACGGGAATAATAAACAGAGCGCTCTCTCCCTCTCCTGACAGCCCGTCAGTATCATGCAGCTCGCGGATCAGTAATGGTCAGTTTAGGTAGTTTGAGAGGTAATTAAAATAGCTACGTGTGATATTCTAACCTGAAGAGTGTGTGTGTTGCTCCGCTCACCGCTGCATGTGATTATGCAGAGCTGCGTGTCGACTCGTCAGCAGCAGCTGATCTCTCTCTCTCCCGTCAGATTAGACTTCACTCGCGTTTATGTCCATATCGATCAGATCCAGCTAGTTCTAGCTAATGATATGACTACCTGCTTATTAAAAGACACCTAAACAGTAAGCGTAGCTATGCAACCGGGTGAGGCCGCAAAGTATAGCGCTATGCATTTGTTTACATTCCGACCGGAACCCAGAGGCATTACCAACAGATCAACGCACAATCAACCCATACAGGACATCTCTTGACTCAGGACGTGTTAGACATTAGAATTGACTTTTCTTGTCTGTCACATACTCTTCTTGTCTGTCACATCAGTGGCGCAACTGATGCGGTATTATGCTAAGGGGAAATGATTTTGACCGGACACTTTGACCGGAGAGATTTAGATTTTACCGGTCATAGTCCGGTAATTACCGGCTAACCGGAACTCTGGTGTGTGTGGAATGGATTTACCAGTGTGCATGGTGTTGGAAGCACCTTTGAATGTTTACTAACAAGGTCTTTTTAAATCAGATACTACAAAAAGATGCTTTGTAATGTTAATGACAGGAATGTCCTCTCGGGAAAATGATTCCAGATAGATTTGTAAGAGGAATATTTTTCTCTGATTGTGTGAAGTCATGGGCTCTGCTTCGGCTCTGTCAGTTTGCTTAGTGTCAATGTGTTGCTGCTCTGACCTGTAGGAGGCGCCGCTCAGTCCCACCGAGGAGGCTCAGAGACGTCTGATGAGGATCTTCGGTGCCCCTGTAAATCACCCTGCTGTCTACCTGCACATTATTCTTGTATTGTCTTTGCTTTATGTCTCTTTGTCTGTCCATTTCATCTTTTACACAACCAAGTACATTTTTTTGCTTTGAATCAAAAATTTGAATATGGGCTCAGCTTCACCTAATCGAGTCCTAAACCTGGAAATGAGCTAGCATCTTAGCACTTCCATCTTCCCTTCTCTCAGTCACTTTTTTTATATTAGTTTTTCGTTGTGACTGAAATAAGGTCTGTGGTTAAACACAAACAAGATTAGGAGGAAATAGAACATATAATACATCAGTAAATATGTCACTTGTCAATGTCTGAAACTTGTTTCAAAGAGTTGCTAATAATGGACTTAATGAGACTGCTAAACTTCATCATGCGTCCGTATAGCCAAACGTTAGCTTTTTACTTCTGTTGATTGCATTTATGCCTCATAAGTTATAACAGTAATGTCAACTTGTGAAGATTGATTGCTGCTTTGCAAAACGCGTAAGCATCATTAACATATGTTTGCCACAGATCTTATTCTGGAATATTTCAAAATTCTATAGAAAAATCCCATTGCTTTTTGTCAAGGGAGCCCATGCAATGCTAACTTCTGGGTTGGCCTAAAAAAGACATCATCGCTGCACCACTCTATTCCTATTATAGGGTTGTTTTGTAATGTGTTGGCTAGCATAACCTCAGCATCCCTAACTCAAACAATGACTGCGCCCCTAAGTTCTTCACATGACTCACCATGCTTGGTTTATTGGTGTGTATTTACAGAGAGACACAGCAGAGGAAAGTATTAGGAGGTAGTCTCTCGCCCTCTTTGCTGGGGGGTTAGGGGCAGAACAGTTGCTCCACCAGTGGTGACTTATGACAGTGAAATATGATCCCCTCTGCTGCTGTCCGGGCCCTATCTTTCTTACCCTTACCCTATCTAACTCACTTTCTCTGGCTTTCATCATGCACTTGTATTGCTAACAACCTTTTACTTATCTGAAACCTATGGCTGCTCTCAAAAGACAGATATCAATCCCAGTTTCCTACACACCAACTCTAGGGATATCCCAATCTACTATTTTCTGGCCTGGTTCAAAATACTATAACTGTGTGTCTGTTGATATCTAGTCCTGTCCAAATGTTTGAATGGTAGAATGGAAGTTTAACTAGAGAAGGATACTTCCTTAAAGGGGCTCTATTATGCTTTTTGGGGTTTTCCCTTTACTGTAGTGTGTTATACACATAGTATGAGAAAAATAAAGAATTTTTTAGACATTAAAGCTTGTATACAGGGAGGCTGTGGCGCAGTGGACTAGTCCGTTGGTGTTTGGATCAGGGGAGCACAGGTTCAAACCCCACTGCAGTCAGCATGTCGTTGTGTCGCTGGGCAAGGCACTTCACCCCAAATTGCTCCTGTGGGGATTGTCCACAGTATTGAGAGTGTAAGTCGCTTTGGATAAAAGCGTCTAACAAGTGACATGTAATGTAATTACATTAGATGCACAAAATACAAATATGAAACCTAGAAATTGGCATAATAGGGGCCTTTTTAAACTTGATAAGAGGAGCCACTCTGGAGTTGTTGAAACTCCAAGAAAGTTCCCAATTGAACAGTGGAGTTAAAGGGGAGGTTTCCCCTCAGGCATGTTAACAAGTTGCTAACAGCATTATGTCAGACCTGCTGCCTAATAACGTGTCACTCTGATAGTTTGGTTCTATTTAATCCCCCTAAAACCTTTGTAATTTCATCCCTTTCCATTGTCCATTAACTTTTTCTATGCTTTTATGCACTGCATTTTCTTCATCCAAAAGTCCATGTTGACATTGTCGTCTTCTTCTTTGTCCTGTTTCCCCCCCATTCTCTCTCCTTCCCTCGATGCCTTTCATACACTGCTTTTGGTGGTTGTCATTGTCTCGCTGTGGTTGCTTTGTGGCAAAGCTGACAGTCAGTGTTCCGGCTTCTGTCCAAGCCCCCGTCCCTGCCGCGCCGCAGAATCAGAGCCCCCTCCCGGGCCCCATCCAGGTACCTCAGCCCTCCAGATTTCCTCTAGGCCTCCTGGCTGGAGTTTGTAATCGTGTGACTTGTCAGAGTGTAAGGACAAGAATACTTCTAACCTTTTCTCATTTCACTCGTCTGCAGTATTTCAAGTCTATATACTGAATAATGGATAACCCTAAAGCTACTTTAGCCAGGGGAAAACGTTTTGAAGGAACTAACTCTAACCTAATACGCCAACAAAACTCACACATTGTTAGTTTAAGAGTATTTAGCATCAGATTCTCATGTGTGGTTGTGACTGCAAAACAAAGCCACATCTCCTAGTTGAGTTGTAGATTTATGGGTGATAAAGATGCTTAAATATTATATATTTAGGGCAAAAATAACACAGAGATCAAAATTGACTGTTGTTTATTCATCCTACCCGTGCTGTCAGCCTAAATATACTTTCTGAACAGTCGCTGATTCTTTTCGCCCCCCATATTTTACACACACACCATAAAGTATGAATGATTCAGCAAGAAGCTTTTGGCAGGACTTTTCTTGTTTTGCCATGGACATAAGGTGCAATGTAACACACAGTGGCATGACGACATCTCTATTTCCATGACACACCAGGCTGATAAAGGAACCTGCATGGGCTTGGTATCTTTAGTACTGACGATTGGAATGCCTGAGTATGAATGTTTGTTTATGAACCTACTACTACTTTTGTTGTCCTGCAGTTGCTTTTTGTTCCAGAATCAGTTAACCTTTCCCCAAAGTGTAATAAAGAGGCCCTATTATGCTTTTTTTGGTTTTTTATTTCCTGTAGCGTCTTATAGGTTAGTTGTGCATGTAAATGGTCTGCTAAGGCTAAAATCCCAAAGTTCCCTTCAGAGGGAGTTTCTCTCCCACAGACTCCCCCTCCCACAGACTCCCCCCCCCCCACCCCGCCTTAGTTTACTTCCGCGACAAAGTGACTTCGCTATGTAACACTCGCGCTACTATTGGCTAGCGCTCCAACACATTGTACTTGATAGACTAAGGGGCGGGTCAGTAGAGGCACACAATACAAATATGAAAATGATCATAATAGGGCCCCTTTAATCAGAAAGACTATAAAGACAGTGAGAGGATTAAGTTGATCCTCACATTGATGATCACATTGAAACTTGATATCTCTCCCACAGGATAAGTATAACAAACCAGTCTTTGTTCAGACAACATGCCGATGATACTTCCATTTCTCTGTGTGCTTATCTATTCATATGTGTGTCGGCAAAACATTTGTTACCCATATATAACTGACTTTTGACCTCTTCATGCTGGCCAAATCACCAGGGATCAGTGGAAGAGGACCCTGTGGCCCTCCTTCAGGCATCTCATGCTGCAGCCCAGCAGTCCCAGGTGGGGCTTGCACTGTCCCGAGTCCCACGGTCCCCCCCCCACCGGAGAATGTTGTGCTGTGTTGTGATCGTTCCCTTTGCTTGCTTGTGAAGTGCAGTGTGTCTTGGTCACTCGTCCCATTGAAATGATGTGAACTTTAAGTAGTCATCACCAAGTTTGAAATCATTTTTCTTAAGTTATACTTCCACCATTCTGACTTTTTTTTTGGTTTTTGTTAGTTTGTTTAAATTATTTAAATAAGTCAATACTAATATAAACCGTCAAGGTACAACAACAGAAAGTTAGGAGACGAGGACAAAGACCTCGGAAAAATATATATATTTCAGCTTAATTAAGGTAAGAGTTCAACAAGGCCATGAAGGGGCTGCATTTTAAAAGTAAAGTAAGACATGTCATACAACTACATATACAGATCAACCTACGATTTACTATAACCCTTTATCATCATTTTTCAACCCAAAAACCACGAAATTCAGTGTTTTGTTCTAGAAATAAATGTTATTGGTCATCTAAACTATCTAAAGCCAACATTAGAATGGTACATTTGTGTAATGTGTTCTATTATTTGAGTTTATGGTTGTTGGTCCTTCCTCACTTTTCCCTTTTGTGCTCACTGAACTGAGGTACTCCCTGGTACTTTGTGTTTCCACGGTTGCCATTGAACCCCCTTCACACACCCCTGAGGCTTGACATGTGTGTGTTTTTGAAGTTCCTCACACAGACAGACACACAAAAACACCTCCCTGATGTGCTCAGTGGGAGACTTTTCCATCCACTGTGCCCCACTGCACGTTCATCAAGCTTTTCCATCATAACCTATCAGCATGTACTGGTTTTGAACTAGAGTGCCGAGGCGATAACAATTCCCTCTTCTCTGCTCTCTACTGCTATCCACCCATTGTTCTCCTTATCCTTTGTGTCCCCCAGGTGAAGACAGAGGAGCAGATCGCAGCCGAGCAGGCCTGGTATGGATCAGAGAAAGTCTGGCTGGTCCACAAAGATGGCTTCTCCCTGGGTGAGACGGATTACTTTTAAAACATTCAAATGCAGGAAATGTTTTCTCGTTTTCCTTGCAATGTGCTTTCTCTCTCTCTCTCTCTCTCTCTCTCTCTCTCTCTCTTTTTTTTTAAAAACATATCCTTATTATAAATTGTGCAAAGAATGTTACATTTATACATACACAAGTTTTACATTTTTGTGCTTTCTCTTTTTAAAATGTGGGCGTCTTTTAAAAAAAAAAAAAAACAGGTAAATAAATGACTGTTTAAAAAAATTAATTCCATATACAAATCTTCAAATAAGTATTGTTAATAATTACAAAGAAGATTGGATTTAAATTGATATTTTTTTCAAAAGTATTTTCATTTTGTTTTCTGAATCGCGTAAGCATCAACTGTGTATTGTGTTGTTGTGTTATAAAAGGAATTATATAAAGCATAATTATTACATTATTATTATGACATGCCCTTTAGCTGACACTTTTATCCAAAGGGACGTACATACACTTATATAATTACATACACAATAAAGGGTTCCTACAATCATTAAAAACCTGGAAAAGTCATTGAAATTCAAAATGCAAATTCCAGGCCCTGGAAAAGTTATGGAAAACAATATTTGTCCTAAAGTTTTGGAAAAGTTTTGGAAATGTAACCAAAGTTGCATCAAATATAATTTATATTTTATTTAATCGCCAAAATAGTAATACTATAACGATAATGAATACTGAATAGTAATGAAACGTAAAATGGCATTTAACTGTCGAGGTATTTTTCTGGTGAGAGATTTTTACAATCACGCCCTCTAGTCTACAGTGTCTTTAGTCTGTAGGAGCTAGTAAGCCTACTATTGGATTTGTTTTAGATAGGCACAACATGTTTCATATGCAGACCTTATTTTCCAGCTTACCATGTTAAAATAAAAATGTGTCAGTGGTACTGCTGAGAGAGTATTTCTTTTGGTCATGGAAAATGAGGTAAAGGTCATGGAAAAGTAATTGAAAATCATTGGTGAAAAGGTGTATGAACCCTGACAATAGCGTAGTCCTGCGGGAGTGATTTGGGGCAAGGTATCGGGCCAATTCCAGATGTTTACAGCAATGTCTGGGGATTTAACCACTGACCCTGTGAATGGTAGACCCTGGGATGTTCACCCCTGAGCCACATCCACATACAAAATCCATTCACCAGTTCTGCTGAGTGAATTGTCAGCACTTCAGTTATTCTGATCGGAATTTGGCCTTACTATTCTTCAATTGCAAATGTTAATGTCAACCTTTTCTTTGCACTGCTCATTGCAGAATTTGAGTTCAGTCACATTTATACTTCAGTTAACGGTATGTTTTTTTTAACCAATCAAAGCTAAACCACTGTTTTCAGACGTGGCAGATAAACTCCCAGATTACACTTGGGCCAATGTGTTCTCGAGAACTTGAGTTGTGCGTATTCATTCCAAGATAGACCATGTCACGACTCCAGTTTTGCGCTGAACGCACAGATATATGAATTACCATTTGAGTTGTTCTACTGTTGGAAAAAGCAGCTAGGCTTCTTGCCCAAATGCTTCCTTTAATAGCTAGAAAAGCCATACATTGTGTCCTCGTCGCCCAAAGTGTCTTTATGTTCATGTCCCTTTGCGGTGCCTTTTAAAACGATTTTCCCCTTAACACCACAAAACCAAGAATGCATGGTGTTTAACTTCCATACTCCACTGTGCATTGTATCTAGGATCTATTATGACCAGATGTTATTTTGGTATCAACAACAACAGAATAAATGTGTCAAATCTATCATTTCACCTATTTAGGTTCCTTTTTATCTTATTTTCCAGTCTTCAAAGGGAAAATGTTATATTATTTCCTCTGAACATGAGAAGCTCCGTTTACATCCATGTGGTTATCTGCCTTATTCCCAGTTCTGAACATGAAAATCGTAAACTGTCCGTGCTTCATTTAGCCTTTTAGATGAACAGATGAGTATGAGGACTGACGGTGTTTCCTATCCTTTCTCTAAACAGCCACCGTGGTGAAGACAGAAGCTGGCTCCCTGCCAGAGGGCAAGGTGAAAATCAAACTGGAGCATGATGGGACATTACTGGAAGTTGACGAAGACGACATAGAAAAGGTGAATATGAGATGGTAGAGCAAAGTTAGGGATCTTGTGTTTCAGGGTCCAGGTCAACTTGTTGGGGTTCTTTAGCTGTAGTGACCGATTTGCTGCATATTATCCTGCTTAATACAGGAATACTTACTAAATCAATCACAATAATGTAGAGAATTCATCATAGAAGGTATATGTATATGTTTTTTGGATAACATGTTTCACCTTTTGCAAACAGAAGTTAGTTTGGCCATTTGGTAGAAAAGAACCTCAGTTTTCCTCAGTTGCTCTCGACAATCCTCCAGATGAGGGATCTTACTTGAACCCCGACACAGTTTTATCTCTCAATCATATAACAGTACCACTGGACGCTAGCTCCAATTTGAGCTAATAGGCTGGTGGTGTTGAAACGTATGCATGTAGTTACCCCTCCTTGTGTGCAGGCCAACCCTCCGTCATACAACCGCTCAGAGGACCTGGCCTCACTGCTCTATCTCAATGAGTCCAGTGTGATGAACTGCCTGAGGCAGCGCTACGGAGGCAACCTCAACCACACCTACGCCGGACCCAACATGGTGGTCATCAACCCCCTGAGCACACCCTCCATGTACTCTGAGAAGGTACGTTTAAGACTAGGGGCAAGGGAAGATGTATTTCTATATGCGGACCAAAGTAAGTATCAGACTGGTTCCCTCTACGAAAAAAAAAGTAGGATTTTTGCATTTTTTTATTTATTGTTGCAGTATGCACTGTGGCTATAATACTGACACATTTTGATTATATTATTTTCTTTTAACGTTTCTTTCTGCCCCATTAGGTAATGCACATGTTCAAAGGCTGTCGGCGCGAGGACTCTGCACCTCATGTCTACTCTGTGGCCCAGTCTGCCTACCGGAACCTGCTCACCACCCGGCAGGATCAGTCCATCGTACTGCTGGGCAAGTCCGGCAGTGGCAAGACCACCAACTGCCAGCACCTAGTGCAGTACCTGGTCTCCATCGCCGGCAGCACGGGCAAGATCTTCTCTGGTAAGCCTGCAGAGAGAAAAGAGGGCAGTTATCACAACAATCCCATGAATAGATAGAGTTGACTAGTAGAGTGGTACAGTAATGATGTTTTTTTGTAGGCCTACCTGGAAGATAGCATTGCAAGATCTCCCTTGACTAAAACAAATTGGATATTTCCAATAATGCACAAAATATCATCTGTGGTTAGCGTATATTTACAACTGGGGCACATTTTGATCCGCAGAATCATTTCCACATATTAAAGCCACTTTTTTAGTAATTAAGGCATAAAGGCACTGCCGGAGTTAGATAGCTAACGTTAGGCACATAAAACTACAAAGATAGTGGAGCAGCAGCCATTCATAACATATTATCATTATAAAAACACTTAAAGGTCCCATGTCATGGCCATTTCTACTGATCATAATTCCATTGTTGAGGTCTACTAGAATAGATTTACATTGTGCAATGTTCCAAACTCACATTGGTTTCTCATACAGCATCTCTGTATAGTATGTGTATTCACTCTCTGTCCTAAACGGCTTGTTGGAGCTCCTGACCCCCCCCCCCTGTGAGCCCACTGTGCTCTAATTGGTCGGGACGTTGCGAGGCTCGCTGCTCAGTGAACTGGCTTACTGGTGTGGTTTCCGGGTCGGCGATACAGCGGAACTGCGCTAAACTCATCCTGAGCACACACAAACACTCACAGCCGAAGTAAAAACAATAAGTGTGTCTTGATATTGAGTAAGAAAAAGATTGATAAACGCTGTGAGAATGGGTCTGCGGAGAGCATTTCTCCGCCATCCCAACTCGTCAATTCCCAACCAGGGAGCTCTATGCAAGTCAATGGGACTCCCTGTTAGTTGAAAATGTACGCTAACACGGCAGCGTGCGTTGTCGCTTGCCGGCGTGGGGGGGTTGAAACTCGACCAACAACCAATCACATGAATCTCCCGCCCCAGACACACAAGCACGCGGTTTGGTTGGCTAGAGCTTGTACTGGCATATGATTCGATTGGCTGACGCCTCCGTCGAGGCGTCAAAAGTAGAACATTGCTCTACTTTTGCAGCGAGCACCGCGAGAGAAGCTACGCTTTGCTCCCACAATGCAGTTTGGCGAATCGTGACGTCACCCAATTCAAAGTGAATGGGCAGAAGCGTTGAAGCGGCAACGCACGCCGCCGTGTGTAGGGGCCGTAAGGGTCCCCCCACTGCGTTTGATAGTGACGCGAAGGGATCCTGGTGTGTGAGGAGCTCCGCGGATTGGTCCATTTTGGTTTCGGGAACCGCATGGAAGAAACAAATGGAAAAAGAGAAATGTCCAACAAGGCGTTCTGGGGAGCATAGACAGGTCTTTTCTGTGTTAGAGTTTTACTCGCTACAGGGTGTACTTTGAGGGTTTGTGACTCTGCAGACCGTTTACATGCAGAAACAGCTACATAACACACAAGGGGACGGGTAATAACCGGAAAAGCATGACATGGGACCTTTAACTAGCTAACTACAGTAGATACAGTGAGAGCTATTTTCAATGTATGAATAGTAATTTGTATAATGATTCTTTGCACACTTTATTAGCCTCCTGTTGTCTTTAGTCTCCTTCACAGTAAGGTCAGTCCACATGCGGGGACTTTTTTAATCCATTGTCTATTCATGTATGTAATACATAGTGAGTTGGGGTTAGGGTCAAGTATGTAATTGGTTGCTTTTAGACAAACTGCGTATTATTATTGTTGCGTAAGTATTAACTAAAAAAACCACAAGAGGGCGGATGAACCATTTTAAAACAGTTTGCACTGATGTTCCAGAACAAATGTTGAGATCCACTTTTACATTTTTTTTTGTGTGACACAGCTGAGAAGTGGCAAGCGGTCTACACCATCCTGGAGGCTTTTGGCAACAGCTCCACCTCTATGAACACCAACGCCAGCCGCTTCTCCCACGTAGTGTCCCTCGACTTCGACCAGGCTGGGCAGGTGGCCTCTGCCTCCATCCAGGTACCCCCCCCAAACACACATACGCACTCTTGTTATGAACCCTATTTGCAACATCTTTAATATAAATTGTCGGGTCCGGATTTATTGAAAGATTTGTTGGACCCCATGTTGTGACTCTGCTAACATGTTGGGGGCCCCATAATGTGATAAAGACAAACACACACACTCGTCAACTTCTATTTTAGACATATAGTAGAACTGAACCTGTGTTCTCCTCCGGCTCAGACCATGCTGCTGGAGAAACTGAGGGTGAGCAAACGGCCCGAGGCGGAGTCCACCTTCAACGTCTTTTACTACATGATGGCCGGAGCCGACAGCAGCCTGAGGTGACTCTTTTAGCATTTCTTTTTTTCAACAAAACATCAGCATTTGAATAGCAATACTATGAAGTCCTTTAGTTTTCCAAGTTATACATATTTTGTGATGTTCAATGACAGTAAAAGGGGTGTTTAAATTGTCCTCCAATTGCAGGAAGATGAGTTTTGTTTTGATTTGAGCATCACAGCTCATCAGATCAGGTTGGATCAAGTATGTTGTAGTCAGGAGATTGAATGTGTTTTTGATCATAAAATTGAGTCGTAAAAATAATACTTATTGGGATTATAATAATAACAGTTCAAGTTAGAGGTTAAAACATATAAGCACACTTGTGCACTTAACACATACATGATTCCAGAAGATAAATAAGCAATGTTGAATATTTTTGCGTCACAAATGGCGGGAATTGTGGGATAAACCAAATCTGAATACAGGTACGTTGACATCATTTCATTTGCTAATATCTTACCACTGTGCTCCTCTCTTCAGAACGGAGCTGCACTTTAACCATCTGGCTCAGAACAGTGCTTTTGGGATCCTCCCACAGTCTAAGGTAATTCAACTAAGAGCTTTCTCTTTTGTCTGTTTTATGATTTAATAAATCTTTATCTATTTGAACGAGCTATATACCCGCTAAAACAAATTGTATTTACATAATTTCCTAACAACAAGTGTCAAATACAAACTCTGGTGAAACAATTGTTTTAGAACTTCCGTACCTCAATGTCTTGTCATTTGTTGTCAATGTATCCTTTGGGCTCTAACATCTACACAACTTCTGTCCACCTGAAAACCCACCTGTTTCAACTGAATTTGTATATTGATGGTTTATTCCAACTATTGTAAGTTGATTTGGATAAAAGCATCAGCTAAATGTAATGTAATGTATAGTAGTAGCTTTTGCAGCTGCAACAATTGCACTTCCTGTTAGGGATTTCTAAAGTTGGATCCCATTCTCTCCAGCCTGAAGACAAGCAGCGAGCCTCGCAGCAGTTCACCAAGCTGCAGGCGGCCATGAAGGTGCTGGGCATCTCTGGGGAGGAGCAGAAGGCCCTTTGGCTCATCCTGGGGGCCGTTTACCACTTAGGGGCCGCAGGAGCCACTAAAGGTAGGAACTCCCACCTGACTAACTGCAAGTACATCAAATCTGAAGCATCTCGCTAATATGGAAGATTGTCTTATTGCTTCTACTGGTCGTTACAACAGACATCATTGCTTCTACTGGTCGTTACAACAGACATCATGCTTAAATCAGAACGGTGTTGAAATTCCTCTAACTGCCACTAGGTGTCAGGCTTGACATGTGAATCAAATCGAAATCTGAGTATTGTACTACTAGAGTTGCTCCATTACAGAATAAAACAAGTTTTACATTTGAGTTTATGATACAAGTTTAAGTACAAATGTTCAACAAAGAGTCTCGAACGTAATTTTAAATAATTTCGAATTAAATATAAATCCAATGTCATTTTTTATAAAAACCTTCCTATCAATTGTTTTCAAGTCTAATAATAAACACAGATAATACCTGACAGGAATTTCTTATATTCCTCCAGGACTTTGAAATCTTCCCAAACATCTTGACCAGCACATTTCTTTATAAGTGTGTATTCATGTTTTATGATGAGAAGTGGAACATTTTCAATTTTCAAAGTCTTCAGTGTGTAACTTTCTTCAGCTCTTGGCAGAGGATCATTTAGCATCCAAACCAGGGTCTGTGGATCCAACAGCGCCACGTCTAACTGCTCAGCTTGGTCTTCTGAAGCATGATGGTGGTGTCACTGTGGTTTACTGCTAATGTGTATGTGTTCCTGCTGCTGTGAACTGATGAATCTCTGAACTGTGTTATCTCTAACCCCCTCTCTCTGCTTGCATGTTTGCATGCTGCGCCCTATCAAACGCAGACGGAGATGAAGGTAATGGAAAAACAACACCCAAGTTGTTGACTCTTTTTCACTTTATTTCAGAGGCTCTCTTGTTTGTATTTTATGTCTTTATCGTTCCTTCCAGGCCTTAAGACATTAGCATTTTTATTGTTTCTGCTCCTCCTCCCTCCCTCCCCTCCTCTCTTCATCTCTCTCCCTTGTGTTTGCTTCATGACGTGTTCCCGCTCCCTGTCTCACCCTTTTCCCTTTTGCGAGATAAAAATCACAGGTATCAGAACTTGCTGTTCCTTTTTAAACTTCTCTCTCTGATGCGTCCCAATGTCGCCCACATTCAACTCCCAACCTGCTCTCATATTACAACACATTCTCAAAAGCAAAGTAAAGCTTGTTTTCACTTCTCTGACACACAACTTGTATTTCCCAGCTTACACTGTTTATCCTCATGAAGTTTGTGCTTGGCAGGGAGCTCCTGTTGATTCTCTGGCTCTGTATCTGAGCTCTATGATTGGCTGGCAGCACAGGCTGTCAGGTTGCCTTGGTTCCACTCAACACATTGGCTTTGAATTGCCTCCAGACCCAAACCAGTCAGTGTATGATCAAGTGTTTCTCCACCAAAAGACTACCAAAATCTGTGAGGCTTAGTTCATTTACTCCCATAGCTGCAGAAGAAAATATTTGATTGGTGGATAAAATTGGGCAATTAGGAGAAACAGATTTTGGGAGGCTTTGGCTCAGTGGAATACATTGGGGGTCTACCAATCGGAGGGTCATTGGTTAAATCCCCTGAAGTCAACAGGTCAAAGTTATGTTTGGGCAAACTGGTCTACTGGCTACTTGAGTGGAGGTTTTGTCATACAGGAAGTTGCCCGTCTGAATGTTAACAATGACCAGCAAAAAGAAAAAGGTAGGGCCAATTTCCCCACCAGAATGGTAGTAAAAGCATTTGGATTGGCTCAGATTTTTATATTTCTCTGTTAATCTCTGGGAAGCTGTGTCTCAGGGGTTAGATGTTTAAAAGTCCCACGACATGGCCATTTCTACTGATCATAATTCCATTGTTGATTTCTACTAGAATAGATTTCTACTGTGCAATTTTCCAAACTCACGTTGGTTTCTCATACAGCATCTCTGTATAGTATGTGTATTCAATCCCTGTCCTAAACGGCTTGTTGGAGCTCCTGCCCCCCCCCCCACCTCCCTGTGAGCCCAGTGTGCTCTGATTGGTCAGTGTGCCCACTCTGTTCTGATGAGTCCACCACCGTTACAGCGGAACATCAGTGATTATGTGTTACAGTGGCGTTGGCAACCAGAAAATGACACCAGTAATGACAAACAGATGAGAATGCTGCGTGGGGTCTGGGTGCCGCGTTGGCGGGACGTTGCGAGGCCCGCTGCTGGAGGGGAAAGTGTGCGCTGGCTTAATGGTGTGGTTTCCTGGTTGCTGTGTGGGGTCTGCGAGACAGCGAGACACAGCGAAACCCAGCCCGAAACCAGCCCGAGCACACACACCCACCCACAGCCTGGCCGTGAGTCTGTGTGTGTGTGCGGCTCCGCGGATTGGTCCATTTGGACCAATTGGTCCCTGGGGTCGTCGTTACGTCACTTGGTTCGCGGAAGAAAAAAATGTAAAGACAAATCTCCAACGAGGCGTTCTTGGGAAGCATAGACAGGCCTTTTCTGTGTTAGAGTTTTACTCGCTACAGGGTGTACTTTGAGGGTTTGTGGTTCTGCAGACCGTTTACATGTATAAAAAGCTACATAACACACAAGGGGACGGTTAATAACCGGAAAAGCATGTCATGGGACCTTTTTAAATAGGCGCCTACCAACAGAGGGTCTGAGGTTTGATCCCCACCCCTGCAGACAATGTGTTGAAGAGTCTTTGGGCAAGATACTTAACCCCAAATTGGTCCCATTGGCATGTCTACTATAAATAAGTGTATGTGAGTTGCTTTGGAGAAGAGGGTAAGCTAAATAACGTGTGAAATAATGGGCTTCATCTTCATATTTGAGTGCGTAGAATGGGTTAACACTTTGTATAATCAGGGCTGCACATAACTGGTGCGCAGGTGCGCATGCGCACCTCCGCCACAAAAAGAGCACCGGGTTATTTGAAAAAACGCGCATTTGCGTACCAACATTGAGAGAGAGAGAGAGAGATTTGTGAGTTGCGAGTTGCATATGAACTCAGGGCCGGCCCGTAGCACTGGCTAGATGTTCGCCTAGGCCGCCAGATCTGGGGAGGCGCTGCGCTGGCAGTTCTGGGAGGGAAAATAACATTTTTGACTGTTGGGGCTCATCCTAATTTTCGGCCTTGATGTAACAATATTCATAATTAAGTAAATGTAACACCCTTTTCACCCCGGTTACACGTTTCATTTGCCCTGTACGATGGGCGATGTAAGTGATGAAAATGGGGGATTTTGGCTTATCTGGCGCCTGCAGCTCACAGCCAAAATGCGAGTGAGCTAAGGAGCAAGCGAGGGAGGGTGCAACGGTACCGGCGCTGTTGTTATTAGAATCTGGTGCTAGCTGCTAACGGATATAAGAAGTAGATGTTTCTACAATAATGTGGAGGGAGAGAGTCCTCTCCAGTCAGACTGAGAGGCTGATAACTACAGCTCAGTGAGGTAAATGACTCTGAGTGTTTAGATATTTAACTTTAGTCTAAGTTCAAACGGTTTGGTCACAATTTATGTAAACACATATTTCCAAGGCACTCCTTTATAATTATTGGGATAAACAGGTTTGAAATCATTCCAATGTATACTATAGGACAGTAACCAAACATATCCTTTAAAACTGGAGAGATAAAAAAAATGCATAAATAAATGTAAAATAAGATATGAATGAACAACACAAATAAAATAAGTTACATTCATTTGTTATTGGCTATGGTAGGTTATTGGTTATGTTCACATACTTATTTGATTACATCCACTTGTCTAAGATGACAACAGAGACTTTCGACCCAAAACCAGCAGCTAATCAGACTCAACCAGAGAGAAAGTAGTAGGCCTACATCATCAGCTACCATGTCTGACAGAGAGGAAGACAGTGAGGAGAACAGTAAGGAGAACAGAGAGGAGAACAGTGAGGAGAACAGTGAGGAGAACAGT